CAGCAGGCTATTTCAGTATAACGTCAGATTGCTTACCTTAGTATGCAATACTATTTGTATATATATATAATATATATATATATATATATATATATATATATATATATATATATATATATATATAATTTATAAAATCTTAATAGTATGTGTAATTATAAGCATTAAAACATCATATACGGTATCATACTATTTATTTCTTTTCTCTATAAGTGATATTTCGGCTCATATAGTAAGAGCCCCTATCAAACTAATAAAACCGTTAAAAAAACCGTTAAAAAAATTATAATAAACGTAAACAAATGATGTCATTGCAACGTCAGATTTCGACATTTTTTAATTTTACAAAAAATGGTTTCCAATGGTGAGTCATCACCAAATTGCCATTGTTGCGATTTAAAACGTTTTCTTTAGGTTTTGAACATTGTACACGTTGTATTTCAATAGCCTCACGAATTTTTCTGGTGTAGTTGTTTGAAAGAATAGAAAGCGTTTTAGGGTTCTCCCAGTGAATTTTACCATTACAATGTTGTGAGTGTTCTACTATTCCTGATGTTTCCCAGTTGGCTTTTGTAACATTACTTTTAATATAAAAAAAAGAACAACTTGGCAATTGCGCAATTCCTGTTCTTGAATTTGTGTGGAAATCTTTTTTCTTGTTTCACCAATATAATATGCACCACATGTGCAATTAAGTTGGTACACTCCTGGATGACTATTCGGAGGCAGTTTAGACTTGTTACGGCAAAGTATGTTGATTAAGGGATTACCAAAATGGAAGACTTTTAATGCTGACTTTACGAAATTCTCTTCTAAGAATTGCAATCATCTTTATTTGTATCAGCAGCAAAAGAATGGTTTATTAATGACGAAGTTCAAGTGTCATTTGATGTTATTAATTTATGCCCATCAGTACCACTTGATAAAGAAACTATTACAGTTATTGATATGCTAAACAAAGATAGAGATGATCTTATACAACGAACTAAGTTATCTTTAGTAGACATTCATAAACTAATTGATCTCTGCATTAGTAAGTGTTATTTTTTATGGGAAGACAAAATATATATTTTAAAAAAACTCTGGTCCAATAGGTCTATCCATAATGGTCGTCTTGTCAGAAGCATATCTACAACATATTGAATCTAATGCTATTCAGCAAGCTCTAAATGTCAATATTGCACCAAAAACTTATAAACGTTACGTTGATGATAGCCAATGCTCGATTTACTGGTATTGATGACGCAAATTCTTTTTTTTAACACTTTTAAATTCACAAGATAAATCCATTCAATATACATGCGAATACGAAAACGCTCATCACCAATTAAATTTTTTAGATGTTTGTATTTCAACCAATCACTCTCTTCACAAATATGAGTTTTCCATACACCGTAAAGATGCAATAACAAACGTACTTATAAAACCGGAATCATCTATTTCACCAAATATCGCTGTTGGTATTTTTAAAGGTTTTTTTGCTCGAGCATACAATATTTGTTCAGAACATAACATTCAGGATGAAATTCATTTTCTTATTAGGATTTTTTCTGAAAATGGACATTCCTATAAACACTATTCAGATGTTGCTAAAAATTGTAAATACTCCACAAATCCATCTTGTTCTCAAAAATTTGGTACCAACAATCTAGTTATTTTACCATGGGTCCCAAAGTTAGGCCTTGTTCTTAGAAGAGAATTTCGTAAAGTCGGCGTTAAAACAGTCTTCCGTTTTGGTAATCCCTTAATCAACATACTTTGCCGTAACAAGTCTAAACTGCCTCCGAAGAGTCATTCAGGAGTGTACCAATTTAATGCCACATGTGGTGCATATTATATTGGTGAAACAAGAAAAAAGATTTCCACACGAATTCAAGAACATAAAAGTATATGTTACAAAAGCCAACTGGGAAACATCAGGAATAGTAGAACACTCACAACATTGTAATGGCAAAATTCACTGGGAGAACCCTAAAACATCGCTTTCTATTCTTTCAAACAACTACACCAGAAAATTTCGCGAGGCTATTGAAATACAACGTGTACAATGTTCAAAACCTAAAGAAAACGTTTTAAATCGCGACAATGCCAATTTGGTGATGACTCACCATTGGAAACCATTTTTTGTAAAATTAAAAAATGTGGAAATCTGGCGTTGCAATGACATCATTTGTTTACGTTTATTATAATTTTTTCAACGGTTTTTTTAACGGGTTTATTAGTTTCATAATGGCTCTTACTATATGAGCCGAAATATCACTTTTAGAGAAAAGAAATAAATAGTATGATACCGTATATGTTTTAATGCTATATATATATATATATATATATATATATATATATATATATATATATATATATATATATATATATATATATATATATATATATATATTTATTGACTTATATATATATATATATATATATATATATATATATATATATATATATATATATATATATTTATTGACTTCCATATACTGACTGAATTACATGTCAGTTTACATGTCTCTTATATAGTAAAATGAACCTGTGTGAACCTGTTCTGGAAGATTCTAGATGATATATATATATATATATATATATATATATATATATATATTATATATATATATATATATATATATATATATATATATATATATATATATATACTATATATATATATATATATATATATATATATATATATATATATATATATATATATATATATATATATATATATATATATATATATATATATTTATATATATATATATATATATATATATATAATATATATATATATATATATATATATATATATATATATATATATATATATATATATATATATATATATATATTAGGGCCTTGCGAAACGAGAGTTTTTATTTCAAATCGAATCTCGAATCAAAACAGGTCTTGATTTGCGATTCGAATCACGTTTCCAATTAACATTTTGAAGTCTACATTTAAGCATTTTTTATTTAATAGTATATATTTCAAAGTAAAATAAAATAAAGCAATTGTATAATCTCTTTATTGATGCTTCTTGCTCTGGTTAACCTTTTTAATGACTGATTAAAAAGGTATTTAAGGATAAATAACGTTTATTTTGATAGCGCCAAAGCGCAGAATATCTAAAATATCCACAACAAAAACAAAATAAGTAAGGATTCGATTTTTTAAAATTTTCAAATTGTATCTTAAATTATATTTTTGATTCAATTCGATTCGAAATTTCGAAGCCTCGTAGGGCCCTAATATATATTTATACAGTATTGAACAAAACATTTGCAACCAACATCAAACAATGCTAAAAACTGTTCCTAATTTTACATGTCTTAAAAATGAAATGAACTATACTACCGCAGCAAACAGTTCAAACAGTCTGGAGTCATATCATGCCATGACATAAGCAATCAGTTGACAGATGACAGCACACAGGCAGAATTTTGTTGACAAGTGCCATTTTGCAGCGGACAAAACAAGTGCAACTTTTTTGGTTTGTTTCATTTTCTTAAATCTGGTCCGTGTCAATGTCATGGAAGTTTTTTAATAACTAAAGGAAATATCCAGAAGTTTCCAGAAGCATGCATAAGTTTCCAGAAGTTTCCAGAAGTATCCAGAAACATTCAGAAGCATTCAGACGCATCCAGAAGCTTCCAGAACAGGTTAACACAGGTTCATTTTACTATATAAGAGACATGTAAACTGACATGTAATTCAGTCAGTATATGGAAGTCAATCAGTCAGTATTATCAAGACAGTTTTCTCGTCACCCTACAAACAAACTGCTGATTTCACTAAAGAACCAGAAGAAAAGACTCCTGTTTGCTACATCTCATATTAACTGGAATGTGCAGAAATGTCGAACTGTCCTGTTCAGTGATGAATTGAAGTTCAACATTATTGGGAGCAATAGCATTTGCCATGTATGTCAACCGGCCAGAAAACGCCTCGATTTACGTTACTGCCATAAGACCGTGAACAACGATCAAACACACCGCAAAAGTAGTCAAGCAGTGGTTTCAAGACAACCACCTATCGGTAATGGATTGGCCGCCTCAATCTCCGGATCTCAACCCTATCAAGAACCTGTGGGAGATCGTCAACCGCAGAATTAATTGTGAAGGTGTTCGTAATAAGGATCAACTGTTTGAACAAATGCAAAAGGCCTAAGCAGCGATTCCACAAAGTTTTATTGATCACCTGATTGAATCTATGCCTCGAAGATGCAAGGCTATGATCGACAACAAAGGATTCGCCACAAAATATTGATAGCAGAATACAGCTTGGTCAACATTATGTGGAGTTGCACTTGTTTTGTCCAGAAGGAAATCATCTTTTTTAATACTTTTGATTAATTTATTAATTTTCGTGTACAAATAATGAACTTTGTGATTAATAAAACTTGAAGAATGTCTCTAAACAGTTACATAGTTCTTTCTCTAAATTGAAAAAATGCAGTACTTTTATATAAAGAAACTAAATTAGCATTATTTGATTGCACTTGTTTTGCCCGGTACTATATTTATATATATATATATATATATATATATATATACTATATATATATATATATATATATATATATATATATATATATATATATATATATATATATATTTATATGTCAACAAATCAAGTTAATTTCTGATGATATAGTAAATATTAGTAGAATAATGTTAGTTGACAATTGGTTTTGAATTAACTTTAATTTTAATTTTTAATATATTTAAATAACTTTGTTCAAAATTTGTTCAGTAAAAAAAATTATGTTTTCAAATATAAAATTGTACACACAAATTGAAATATATGATATTTTAAAAAAAACCCCACTGAAAACCCACTTTTTATTGACCAAAATAAATACCTTGAATGTTTTTTAAAGAGCCCCTTAAACTTAGGTAGTTGAATTCATTACCATTATAAATTAACAATTGATTTTGAATTTTAATTTTGATTTTAAATATATTTAAACATTATTTTGAAGCATTGTTTTTTAATTTTTTTAGTTAGAAACTTTTATCAAAGATATTGGATTAGATAAGGGATGTCAGAAAAAGAAAATATCTAGCAAAATTGAAAGTACCAGTATTTCGGAGTGTGCAAATACAGATAGTTTGACAAAGTTCAAAACCAATGAAGTTATTGTTATTTTTCCATACGAAAAGCAGAGCAAACTTTTGCTAAAAAATTGTGTGCCATGGTATCAGCAGGTATTTATCTATATTTATATATATGTATATTTATTTTTAAGCTTAGAATTGTGTTTAGTTCATTGTGTTTATATTTATTACTATTATTTTTAGAGATCTTAAAATAAAAAATTTTGTTTGAGTTTTATATTTTTATAATTATGTTATAAAGTTTTTTATTGCATTTCAATAAAGTTCAATCTAAAAGCAAAAAGGAGCGATAGAGTTTTGAATGCCTAAAATGCATGCCGTCAAGTTTGATAAAAAACCAAAATGAAAAATTGCTAATTAAGCACAAGCATGATTTGCACTAAAGGAGCATATAAACTCCCCAGTTTTTATCACAATTTATATAGATTAAAAAAATAATAAATAAATTTATAGGTGAAAACAATAATTTTATAATTTTTATTACAATTTATATAGATTTAAAGAATATGAAATTATAATAATAAGATATCATAGAATAATAGATTAATTTGACAACCATCTTTTTTTAAACTAATTTTGGTAAATCAATTTCTTTTCTTGGAACCTCTCTTGGAAACAAAATAGTTTTAAAACATTTTGATTTTTCACTTGAATGGAGTTATCTCTTTTAAGAAAAAGTCAAAAGTAAAACAAATCATTATCTCTAGATAAAATATTTTTTGTATTTCTAAATGCTCAATAATTTGATGTTTTTTTTAAAGTATATTTATCTAAATATTGGAATTTTATGAGATTTGTAATTAACAAGCGGTTCTCATTATTATTGACATAAACTCACAGTACTGATGACAGTTGGTATTTTTATTATTCTATATTTTTTTATTTAATATAATTTTTCACTTTTTTTTATATTGTTTTTATTTCTAAATAAAGATTGTTAAGGTTTCAAAACTACGTTTATTCCACTAATCAAATACATATTAAAATGTGCTAAACACATTTAAATTGTTTAAATTTAACTTTATGTTTTAAAATGTTTTGAGTTTATTATTATTAAGTTTGACCTGCAATTTTTGTCAATTAAATTCGATTTGTCATAACTGATTTTAAGAAATCAAAGTATTTTTTTTCCTCAAAAGGAGATTATTAATGATTGTTGATTAGCTGTTATTTTGAGTTTTTCAAGACTGTAATATATATTGTGTCATCAGCAAATAAAACCACTTCAGAGGTAAAATTAATTGAAAAATCATTAATATAGAGGAAGAACAGCACTAGAACAAGTATGGGGCCTTGGTACCCCAGACAGTGGTGTACACTGCTATTTTAAGTTTGTCGCAAGGAAGGGTCACTGAAAGTAATCAGTTAACTAATTTTGGTAACCCACAGATATTTTGAGTTGCTTGTTGTATTTTTTTAAAATGCTACTATTTCATATGAGAGAACTTAAACAAAAATTCTTTAATGTATATTATTCTAACCAAAATGTAATAAATATTATCATTTTGTATTCAAAAAAAGGATTCCTTTAAGCAATCAGTAATGCTTCTAGTCTAAAAGTTCATTCATTGGATTATCTCTAAAATATATATGGGTCAAATCATTATATTTCAACCAATTTGAAGAAAACTTTGTGGGTCACCATATCTGATTTTTCTGATTTTTACATGTTGTTAAGTGCGTTATGTAGATAGGTTAAATTTAAAATTTCAGACTTCCAAGTACAATGTTTCAGAAATAATAGCCTTAGAAACATGAAACTGTGACCTCCCATGATTTAAAAATGGTCAAAACAGACTACTTTAGAGCTGTATAACTTTTTTCTCACTTTAAACAAGTGTCTCATTTTTTATAAAAAAATGAGACACTTGTTTAAAGTGAGAAATTATAAAAAAACTATGACCTCCTCAACTTTGGAAAAATTCTAAAATTGCTAAAACATGTCAAAATGAAACTATCTGTAGCATTATTCTATTCATCCACAAGTCTTTACAGATAAATTTTCTGATTAGCTACTACTGTCTGCAATAAATGGGCAAAATTTAGGTAGCTTGTTGCAGTTTAGAACTCAATTATATCTAAAAGCAAAATGTCCACTTGATTAAAAAGTCCAATTTTCAGCCATTTTGAGATGCTTGAAAATTTTTTTAACACTTTGTTTTGATCTAAGATTAACAGCATATAAGACCATTAGACTCAACTATCTGAAAATGCAAACAATACGAACTTGTCAAATCCCCACCAAAAATGCTAGCATTTTTAAATAACCCTATTTTTTAATTATCAACGGTTAAATGTATCACCCTCTAACCTGCCAACTGGTGTATGTGAAGGGTGTAACTAATTATAAGTCATTTCTTTATAAAAACAAAGATATGGTTGGTTGTCCTCTCAATGATCTGGTCTTTATAGTAGATAGGGGCACAAATAAAGGAGGCAGTAACTTTTTAGAGACCTTTGTTATGGTTCAAATGAAGGTCTCTAAATTAATTTAGATATTTAGATACTTAATATCTAAATATCTAAATTTATTTCAAAATGAAACCATTATTTCTTTAAATTCTATTTTATTATAGGTAATCAGTGGTCTGTATGTGGTTCAAATTGATCCATATATAACAAAGAAATTAGTTTAAACCAATGCAAAATAGACTTGCAGAAGTCGTAAAAGCTCAAGGCGGATCAACTAGATATTAAAATTAAAAAAAAATCAATCACTGGGAGAAATGTTTAATCTTTAAAATTTGTTATGTTCTTTACTATGAACTTTTCTTTTTTCTAAAAGAACCTGACAAAGTTTCAAAATAAAATGGTATTTTTCTGATACTTATTTCTTTGACTGTATATAATATGTCATGTGGTTAATATTTTGTACGATAGGTTACTTTGAAGCAATACTATTAGTCTGTCATTGATTGGTTACCAAAAATTTATTTTATCAATTAGGATAAAATTTTTTTAATCATTCATTATCCATTTATTTTATATAATCACATATTTTAATTTTTTTAATTAGTTGAAACATTTTTTAAATTGATTTAAACACATGAATGTTGCTGAATAAAAACCGAAATAAAAATAATTTTTTTTTGTTGCAAAATTGAGTTAACATGGCTGCATAAAAGTAAGTAAAATTTTTTTTTTGATGTCAGCAAACAAAAATAAATTTGGTTGCCATTTGGCTTAATGAGTAGTTAAGGAAAGTTTCGCATAATGAACAGTGGTTCACACAAGCATGTAACATCCTCAATAATCAATTTGGTAATAGATGGTTGTTGGTAAATTCACAAAACTAATAGTATTTTATTATTCAAACAAAGACACATTTAACACAGTGTTTTTATTTTCACAGAGTTCAGGTCAGTGCAACCATATTTTTCATCACTACCAGGTAGAAGAATCAGAATTATAAATGTTTAGGAGCTTTTTTCTGATGATATGATTGTTAAAACTGAAGTAAGTTAAGTTGGCGATGCCTTGGTATCAATTGCTAATCTCTGTATCTTCTACAGTAGAATCCTGTTAACTCGGACCTTAGATAAGTTGGATGGATTTTTGATTCCCTATGAACTTTCTCTAACAACTTACTATAAAATTATCCGCATAAGTTGGATCCTAGTTTACTTGGAACATTCGCTAACTCGCTGTTTTTTGGAGTCCCTTTGGCAAAAAACTTCTATTTAAAAAAAGAAACAAATGATTTGAAGTGACTAAAAAGCACTTTAGCTCTTTCCAATTGCACTAAAAATTATAATAAATCTTGTTTCGCTAAGTTGCCTAGTTCTTAAGAATCTGAAAACAAATGAGTAAAAAACCAAGAACAAACAAACATTTATTTACTAAAACTACTTTATTTAAACAAATTAAATTAAACAGAGAACAACATTGATACTCCTTGAAAGCTGAAAAACTTTTTATCTCAAATTTGCTTGTAGACTTTGCTTATGAAACCACTTGAATAAGAAAAGCATCAAAAAAGCCTAGAAGCTACTTAAAAATGGTATATGCAACATTAAACTTTAAATGTTGATTGGTGTAGATATTTTTAAAAAATTCAAAATGATTTGTTCTTCTATAGCAAATGAATACACCATAAATCTGAAGTTAAACATGTAACGAATAAATACAAAGAAAAACATCATATGTGAATTGAAAATCAATGTACCTGATAGGTACATTGATTTTCAATTCACATATGATGTGCATTGTAGTCTGCAAAGAATGCAGACTACAATGCACGACATTGTTAATAAAAATGAAGTTATGTCAGTTAGTATATGTTTATCTAAAGTAGTGAAAAAGAATAAACCATTTAAAAACAAAATTAAAAATTTCTAATGAATATATATTTAGATACCTTAAAATGAAGCATAACACAACACTCTTTTGACAAATTCCAGAGCAAATTTTATAAATTTTTCTATTCCTTATTATTTTTCCTTAGAGAAAATATATATATAGATATAGAGAAATATAAAACAGACTGAAATAAACACAAACTTATGTATATAAACTTACATGACCACAAATAACAGTCTTATTTTATTTAACTTTTCATATTAAATACATAAATAAAATTTTATTCTCATTATTCTTTCTATATTAAAAAATCTTAGCCTATGAATGAGAAAATGAAGTAAACTTACTAAAAAAGCGATCATTTCGTCTTAAGTGCCCTAAAAAATAAAGCAAATACTTGCTTAAAATGTTTTAAAAAGACTAATGACAAAACTGAAACAGTTTTCTTAAAAAAGAAACATTGTACTAATAAAACTATTTTACCAGTCAATTTAGTTCTAACTTCTTCTAAAAAATGAAAAATAAATACATAATTAGATACCTTAAAATGAAGCATAACACAACATTCTTTTGACAAATTCCAGAAGAATTTTTTTTATTTTTCTATTCTGAATAACTTTTGCTAAGAGAAAATATACATATAGTAAAGATATAGAGAAAAATAAAATAGACTAAAATAAATGCAAACTTATGTATATAAGCTTACATGAACACAAATAACAGTCTTATTTTATTTAACTTTTCATATTTAATACATATATAAAACTTTATTTTATATATAATTCTTTTTGCAAAAAACAATCTTTACCTATAAATAACAAAACGAATTGAACTTACTAAAAAAACCATCAGCTTTTCTTAACTGCTCTTAAAAATAAAACAATACTTGCTTAAAATATTCTAAAAAGACTAACGACAAATTGAAACAGTTTACTAAAAAAGAAACATTTTACTAAAAAAACTATTTTACCAAACATTTTAGTTCTAACTTCTTCTAAAAAATAAAAACAGACTATAAAAATTAGAAAAAATAAAAATAAGCAACAACAAACTAACAATTAAATTTTTATTTTAAAAAATAAACATTAATTCTTTTTGAAAATAAGTGCATCAGCTCCAATTTGCTTGCTGATTTTACTCGAAAGACCGCATGGAATATATAACTGCGCTTAAAAAAGTCTAGAAACAACTTCAAAACTAAAGAAATAGTGTATTTTACATAATGCAGAACCGTAATTAACAAAACGAACAATAGGCGTAACAATGCGTAACTATGCGCACTAATAATAATAATAATATTCATTCGGCTATTCATTATAGAGATAAGATGAAAAAGTTCTATTTATTGTAAACAGTCATAAAATTTTATTCAAAAATTTGAGATACATAACATCTAAACAATTAAAAAGCAATTCTAAATGTATTGAGCTCGTTCAAGGTTTAATTACAGAAGAAATATTTTTTATTAATTTATTTTTTTTACTTGGAGTTATTTCAGTAGGATTCAAAAAATTTTTGAACTCGGTAGCATTTTGTTTAAAGAGCACAAGAAAAACAAATTTGTGATAAGAGAAGTGCAATAAAAAAGTTTATATTTGAGTTAATTAGTTTAATAAAACAATAATGTAAAAGTATATAATATAAAAATATAGTTTAAAAAGTTGGTGAAATGCTATATTTTTAAAATTTTCAAAAAATATCAAAAATTAGAAAATGTGATAAAACACGAATGTAGCTTTTCTGCCAATTTTCCTTCTTTTTCAAGTTCATAAGTTTGTCTATACCTAGAATAAAGACAGGACAAAATGGAAAGAAGCCCAAACAGAAGAACCTAAAGACGCTCAAAACAAAAGCATATTGGACCAACAGCTGAACCCCACATTAGAACTAAAAAAGCTCAAAATAAAAGCATATTGGATCAACAGCTGAATGAAACGAAAACAGGCGAAACTAAGTGTAATGTGATGAGTGAACAGTATTACACTATAGTTATCAAAAATTTGATTAATTATTTCTGTTTACCTGTTTCAATGACCTGATACTAAAATAAGAATATATAGTGGCAAGTTGCAAAAACATAAAACTAAATTGTCATAATAATGATAATATATTATTACACAATAAATTATCATTATTATGATAATATATTATTGTGAAAACTATATTATCATAATAATGATAATATATTATTGATTACACAATAATATATTATCATATTATATTATGATGTATTCATAGTATATTTATTTTTAAACATACAATATTTATTTATGTTATTAAATTAACTAAGTGGAACCATAATTAGAAGCTTATAAAAAACTTATCGACTTTTAAAAAACTTTATCTATAGAAAATCTAAAGAAAATCTAAAGAAAACCTTTATCTAAAATAGCAGAATCTGTCCATTATGGTGTCTATTTACAATATTTAGATCTGCTTTCAAAAACCATGCATAAATACCAACCTGCAGAAGTATATAATATAATAAAAGTATATAATATAATAAAAGTATATAATATAATAAAAGTATAATAAAAGTATATAATCAATGATTATGATTGCTGTTTTTTTATTCAAGATTTAGGTTTTATGTTGTACAATTACAACATAAAACCTAATTGTTTATTTCTACTTTTTTAAAGCTTTCTGATTTGCCGAAAGGAAACTCAAATTTATCAAAAAGTGATATCGAAAAGTTTTACCAAGTTGCAAAACTGTACTGGGAAGATGAGAGCAACTTTTACCAAGAATGTGAGCACATTTGTTTTTTTAATTTTTTTTACTATTAAAAGGTTAAAAAAAAATATCTTGTATTTTTCTTTTCTTTTAAAAATCTTTAGAATTAATTTTTCTTTATTCAGCAAAGAATAATGATCATTCTTCTGATCAACAATGGTTAAGGACAGTATTAAAGTCCGGTACGCTAAGTGACAAAGTGGCTGCTCTTGTCATGGTTACTCAGGTATAAATTATATATTAATCCCCCATTTATATATTGTTTTTTTTTTAAAAAAAAGATTAATTAATAAGACTGGAAAAAGTTTAAAAATTTGTATATATGAATCGCTAACTTGAAAAAGGGGACATGTTATGTGAATTTTTGCAGGACATGTCCTCTTTTTCAAGTTAGCGATTCATATATACAGTGCTGTACTTAGCAATAGTTTGGGTGGTACCACTTAAAAAGACTTTTTTAATTTATTTTTTTATAATTATGCATATAATGCCATTATTGGTAATGTTTTTTAAAAGTGGTTTGTTTTACTCAGTGTTCATAAGACATGTTTTGAACATCTATAATACATCTTGAGCCTTCTGGGTAAATATGTAAATATTTGAGTTCTAGCCTAGTTAAGAAGCATTACGCAGTATGCATTTTAAGTACAAAATGGTGTTTCACCTACACATTCAGCAACTTACGTTTAACAAAAATTTGATCCATTCTGATATTTAAATGTTTTTTTTATATTAATTATACTGCATTTATTTAGATTCAATTACTTATTGTAAAAAACATGTCAACTGAATTTGTGAATGACGCAAAGTAAATTGTATTTAATTAATCTAAACAAAATATGAGTAAATTTAAATTACTTTTTTTCTTAGAGCGTTGGGAAGTTTGTCTAATGCAGTGGTTGGCACCGTATTTTCAAAGGAGCCCACTTGCAAAATTCTTGTTTTATTTGCAGCCCACAGCAATAAATAAATTATATACAAAACATACTATATTAACTATATAATATAATATAGTATAGAATTAGATTGAAGAATTAATAATTGTATTATTACCATGATAATTGTATCATTACAAAATACATACTTAAGAAAAAAAATACATAAAACACAATTCAAAATTTGATTAGTATTTTGGTGTTGCAGCTACCACAAAGTCATTCAAATGAGTGTCAGTCAGTCTTGTTCTTAAAACATTTTTTAGAATTTTTATGCCTGAGAATGTTTGTTCGCATTGGTAGCTAGTGCCATACATACAGATAAGTCTATTTGCATGTTTTTTAAGAACTGGAAAACGTTCCTTCATGACATCATGCCAGAAAAGAATTAGATTTTCACCAAAAGTGCTGTCTTCATATTTTTTTGGTGCTTTTCTTCTCAACTTGTTGTCACATTGAAAATTAATTAGTTCATCCTTCAGTTCATCCAAAATATTTTTTTGATATGAATAAAGTGACAAGATCTGGTGAGTATTTTAAAAGGAGGATTTAGAATTTTTACAGCTGAGAAAATAACTAAAAGGCCCACAACTACACTACTTTGTATAATATGCGGTTGGGTGGCTTGGGACCCACAAATAATGTAGCAAAGGCCCACAATTGGACCGCGGCTACAATTTGCTGACCCCTGGTCTAATGATAGAGAGATCAACAGCAACTTAATGTCCATCAGTCACTGAAAATCTTATTGGAACAAAAAAAGCTTTTGGCTTTTTCAGTGTAACACCAGAGTGCAAATCTAAACACGCATTCATACTTGTATATATAATACTATGTTTATTCTCAAAAATCTTTCTTTAATTATTTTTCAATAAGAAATAAAAAAAAAGTTAAAGTTTCAGTACCGTCTTTTTTTTTTTTAACACCATTATGGCTTCTTGCAGTCAAGTTTCAGTATATCAAGGAAACACCTTCAGATAACAGGAAAGCTTGCTAAAATTTCAGGTTTTAAATTTAATTACAGAAAAAAAATAAAACATTTGTTAGGCTTTAAAAGATAAAATAATATTAAAAGTTACAAAAAGGCATCTAAGTTATGCTAGTCACTAAATATTAGGCTCTCTAAAACATTTTTATATGCTATATGTAAAATGTTTATAATGCCTAGGTCATATTTTGATAAAAATATTAATTGCCAAAATATTATTGGACTTTGGCGCCTGATGAGCTCATACCACTTCAGAATTTTTTTTAAAATCAAATGTATAAGCTAACAAGATAAATCTCAATGTATCTACAATAGTATTAGCGATGTTAAGAATTTTACCACCAATACATATACTTTTGCGTCTAGAACACAACCTATTATGTTGAATAGCTGATTTTTAGTTACAAATTAAAATCTTGTGCGAAGTGACTCAACTAATTTTGATAAAACATATTTATAAACATTTTTTTGTAAACATATTTTTTTTTTCAAATATATTTGCAAGAAAAAAAAAAAGTTTATAAATATGTTTGTAAACATGTTTACAAAACTCACGCTTAGTTAGCAGTGTTTTTTGTATTGAACAATGTGCCTTTTAATTGATTGGCTTGAATAATAATTTACTCAAAAATTCACTGAAAATAAGAGCATGTATTTTTGCTGTTTCTTTAAAAATTCCATGTAAATTTAATAAATTTATTTTTAAACATATTTATTTACTAGAAGCCTTAGCCGAGGTATCTAATAAAACTTTGAAATTTTTTTTACAAAATTGAAGTTTTAACCACATTGTTCAAACCCGTGTCTTCATAAACATCATATCCACACTTATAAGCTAACTGATTGTACAGAATGAATAAATTATTTTAGATTAGATTTTTACTAAAAATGAGCTACTTGTATATGATTTTTCATGAGAACTGTTTGTTTTTTGTTGTTTCATGTTTTATTCCAAGTTTTTTTTGAGCTCAACAATTAAATCAAGTTTTATTTAAGAAAAATAGTAATTTTCACTGCAACAAAATAAAAACAAATTTGGCAAATATTTTTTGACTTAAGACACTGTTAGGTTGGCACTTCAAAAGTGCTAACCATAATTTCAAAGGCTGTATACATGCGCACATACTAATTTACACATATAAACAAAAAGGATAAGGATAAAAAGATAAAAAGTATCAATGCTGAAAGATCCAATTAGAATTTAGTGTGTTGTTCTTATAGTCCTCATAGCATAAAATTGTGACTAAAACCAGTATTGGATAATTAATTATATGGATCAATGTTTCTCTTTGCTGAGTTCATTTATAATTTCTATAGTTGTAATGAACTTTAACACTATTATTGATAACTTTCCTACAAAACTGCATAAAACACTGATCTGGCACTTTTCTTTTGGAGATCTTTTTTTTCCGGCTGGATTCTATATCTGATTTTCACACTTCAAGTATATTCTTGCATACTTTTTAGATCTTGATATTTCCACTGCATTTATAAGCATACACTGCTCATATTATAATACACCTTAAGTTAGCAATTACACGCAAACAAATATTTATACGATATTATAAAATGAGCAACATGTCAATGCTCATTTGTAAGTGATTGACATGGTACTCGTGGCAGCCATTGCAACTGAGGTAATGGCAAGAAAGAGTCGCAGCACTTTTTTTTATTAGAAGATGTGAATTAAAGTGTATGCAATCATCATCTTCTTTTTTTTTAAATTTAAAAATTTAGGTGCCCCAAGAAGTCCTTACAGTCTTATCACAGAGCACCAAGGATGATTCACGCCTCCTTCCTAACCGATGTTGCAAAACTTGCCCAGAGGTGGGGTTTGAACCACGGATTCAATGTTTCTGAGGCAAGTGCGCTACCACTGTGCCACAGCTGCCTAACTTTTTCAAAGTTAAGCAAAAGTTTGAAGTTGTATAAACCAGGCCTTTTTTAAAAAAAAAAACTTATCTAAACTTCAAACTGTGTAATGTTACACTGTAAAACATCAATGAAACACTCTTCTTTATTTTCAGTAACTTCTGGGGTTCCCCAAGGTTCCATCCTGGGCCCTGTTTTGTTTCTTATCTACATAAACGATCTTCCTGACAACCTTTCATCTAAAGTAGCTCTTTTTGCTGATGACTCAACTTTATACTCCTGTCTTGACAAAAAGTCTTCTCTTTTCGATCGCCTAGAACAAGCAGCTGATCTTGAATCTGATCTCACTTCAGTAATAGATTGGGGTTCACAGTGGCTTGTGAATTTCAACTCTAAAAAAACCCAATTGCTTACTGCAAACAACTACCGTAATATGGTCAACATTCCTATATTAATGAATGGCAATCCTCTTACTGAGTTGTCCTCTTTACGTCTTCTTGGATTATCGCTTACTACTGACCTTTCATGGAAACCATATATACAATCAATTGCTAAATTAGCTTCTGCTAAGGTTGCTTCTCTTTATCGTGCTCGCCATTTCCTTACTTCTGATTCCATTCTCTACCTCTACAAATCTCTTATTCGTCCCTGTATGGAATACTGTTGTCATATTTGGGCTGGTTCTTCTAACGATTCACTTTCTCTTCTTGACAAGGTCCAAAAACGCATTGTAAATGTTGTTGGACCTGGACTATCTGCTAAGCTTGAACCTCTTTCCCATCGTCGTAAAGTTGCATCTCTTTCTCTTTTCTACAGATACTATCATGGTCACTGCTCAAAGGAGTTATCATCTCTAGTTCCATCAACTAAAATTCATTCTTGTTTTACTCGTTATTCAGCTAAGTCTCATTCGTTTACTGTATCTGTCCCTGCATGCTCTAAAAACTTTTATTCATCTAGTTTTTTTCCCCACACTTCAATCCTTTGGAACTCTCTCCCATCTTCATGTTTTCCTGACTCATACAACCTTCAACTTTTCAAGTCTTCTGTCAACCGTTTCCTTGCTCTATAACTCTGTTCTTTTTTTTTCCTAGTAACTCCCAACTTAATAGTGGTTGCTTGCAGCCTTGTTGGGAGTGAATGCAAATAAAAAAAAAAAAAAAAAAAAAATTTTCATACATCAAGTTTTGTACTGTAACTTTTACTTAAAAAGTGCGGTAATATTTCCTTAATTTTTAATTTATAGCATTTTTTTTCCATTTTATAAAATTTTTGAAGCTTTATAGATATTATATGCATAACAAATATAAAGATACTATAACAAACAACTTTCTCTTCTTTGCTATATATATTTTTTTGCTACAAATATATACAGCAAAATTGAAAAAATTTTAAAATTTATCTTTTTTATGGGGAGGATTTGAGCCCTCTGAAATAATTCTGTTAACAGTGCACTAAATCACTGAGCTAATAAAGATATGCATTTAGGAGAAAAACAAGCTATTTTATAAATCTCTTATAAGCGGAAAAGGTGCGCATGTTAATTTTTTCTGCTG